AGCGCGATGGCTAGCGAGAAGGACGAGGTTCTCGCTATACTAGGGGAGCCGTCTACGAGACCGGCTTTAACCCCTACGGCCTCCGCAACGCCGGTTACGGCGGCGATACCACCGACGAGGAAGCCGCTCCCTTAGCCGACTTAGGATAGCAAGCCGGAGTCCTTTTACTTCTTCCTTAGCCGGCTATAGATAAAGTTTACGACTAACGAGAAATAGGGCCTAAATAGCTATCGCGATATAGCGTGGTATTCGCTCCTCTATACGCTACCGGAGCCCTAGATACGGCGGATCTCTAGATTCTAGGATAAGGGCGGCCCTAGGGGTAGACGCGACCTATAAGACTTCTTTTAATACCTTATATATACGTTCGGCAACGTATAGGAGCGGGAGAAGGCGTAAGATAGGCTATAGACCCTTAAGTAAAGAGACGGATAAACCTTTAGCGAATTCCTTCCCGATTTTAAAGAGACGCTCTTATAGGCAGCGGAGACTATAGTATAGGAAGATAGCGCGAAGCTTATATAGCTACGGAATTCGATTACGCCGGCCCTACGGGAGCTGCTTATCCCCGTAATTATGCCTACTAACTACGGCGAGTATATAAGCCGGTTAATAAAGGTAGCTTAGGGCTACGAGCAGACGCCGCGTTTCTAGAAGCTCTATAAGCGCACGCCGTATAGCGGCGACGGGATTACCGCCCCTCCGTAAGATAAATAACCGGCTATCGATATAGACGGGGATACCCTAATATCGGCTACCCGTATAGACCAGGCTAGACGTAGTAAGAAGACGCCGTCGACTACCCCCTATACCGCCCCGTACTCTAAGTAGCGGGCGAAGTAGGTAACGAGCGAGGAAATCGGGAAGAGGAAGGCTAACGGCCGCTGCCTATATTACGGAGCATCTACGTACTTTATATTAAAATGCCCCTTCCTTTTAGCTAAGCGGCCTATAGCGGTTTAAGTAGCGAAGATAGAACCGCTCCTTGCCTTAGACGATAAGGAGGACTCCGCCCCCCTAGGCCCGGAGGAAAAAGAGTAGCCGGAGTAAAGACGGGCTCTAGAGCCCTAATTACTAGCACTAGTAAAGGAGAAGGAAGAATTATCCGCTTATATAAAAGAGGAGCCTACTTTAATATAGGTTATAATTAATAACTCCTTGCCTATTACCGCCCTTATAGATAAGGGCTGCTAGTACTACGCCGTAGTTAATAAGGCGCTTACGCGAGAGATATAAGTACTAGTAGAAAAGATCGCCCTAAAGCGAGTAAAGGGCGCCTTAGGCGCGATAGAGGGTACGGTAATTAGGGGTATTATATAGCTAGCTATAGAGGTCGACGGTTACTATAAGCTTATCGTAGCCTATATAATCCCTTAACTAAAGTTTCCCTTAATCCTTAGGAAACCTTAGTTATTATATATAGAGTTATACTTAGTTCTATACTAAAGGAAGCTATAGTTTAGGCCTACGTAATAGTAGGTCCGCTACGACGATAGTTCTATAAGCGTAGGACTAGGCGTACGAGCTTTATACTTAGTATAAGAAGTCCTTACCTCTATCTTTATAGGAACTATACGATGGGTAGAGCGGGGGTAAGGCCGGGCAGCGGCTAACGTAGCGGTCTATATAGTTAGCCTAGCGGATATCGATAAGGCCCTCTAGATAAAGAAGCTAAAGTCGCCCTTTAAGCTACGGTAATAGATACCGGAGCGCTTTTACGACCTCCTACCGCTATTTAAGTCCTAGGAAGCGGATAAGCTTAACTTATATAAGCTAGGGGTAGACTATAGGATTATACTCCGCACCGATAAGAAGGGGCAAGAACTACCCGCACCGTTCGGACCGCTATATAGTATATTATACGCGGAGCTGCTAGTGCTAAAGAAGACGCTAAGGGACCTCTTAGATAAGGGTTTTATTTAAGTAAGTAGCTCCGAAGTAAGAGCGCCGGTCCTATTCGTGCGTAAACTAAGGGGCGGGATATAGTTCTATTACGACTATAGGGCCCTAAACGTAATTACGAGGCCGGACCGCTACCCCTTGCCCTTAATCTCGGATACGCTTTATAACCTTTCGAAGGCAAAGTAGTTTATAAAGCTAGATATAAAATAGGCGTTCTATAAGGTATAGATCTTAAAGGGTAATAAGTAGAAGACAGCGTTCTATATACGCTACGGCTTATTTAAGTAGCTTATAACGCCCTTCGGCCTCTTAAGAGCGCCCGCTACCTTCTAGCGTTATATTAATAACGTGCTTTAGGACTTCCTCGATAAGTTCGCCTCTATATACGTAGATAATATCCTTATCTATATAAGCGGCTCCTACGAGGACTATATATAGAAAGTACGGAGGGTCCTAGAGCGCCTCTAACTTTATAGGCTTTACCTCGACCTAGATAAGTGCGAATTCGGGGTTAAGAGGGTTAAGTACCTAGGCTTTATTATCTACGTAGGCGTAGGTATATAGGCGGACCCTATAAAGATCTAGGCGATTCGGGACTAGGCTGCCCTAACTATATAGATAGGCGTACGGAGCTTCCTTAGGTTTACGAACTATTATAGGATGTTTATTAAGGGCTTCTCCTATATTATAATGCCCTTAAACGAGATTACCGGGAAGCGGACCGCCTTTCGCTAAGGGCCTATATAGGAAGGAGCGTTCCGTACGCTTAAGGACCTATTCTCTTAAGCCCCGGTGCTACTTTAGTAGGACTTCGACCGGTCTACGTTAGTCGAAGCGGACTATAGCAGCTAGGCACTTAGAGGAACGCTCTTTTAAGAGGTAGATAAGCGGAAGTAACTAGTAGCGTTCTACTCCCGTAAGCTAACCCTAGTAGAGCGGAATTACGCTATTTATAATAAAGAGATACTAGCGATTATTAGCTACCTTAAGTAATAGTAAGCGGAGCTCCGGAGCTATAAGAGCTTCGAGGTTCTTATAGACTATAGGAACCTTAAGTACTTTATAACTTACTAGTACCTCTCGGAGCGGTAAGCCCGCTAGGCAGAGTATCTCTTATACTTTAACTTCTCGATTAAGTACCGCCCTAGGCGGGACTCCGCGGTCCTAGACGCGCTTTCTTAGAGGGATTAGGACCGGCCGACGGGAGCGGATATCGAGGCCCGGGATCTATAGCTTATCCTATAGGAAGTACTACGGACTTATATAGGAGCTTCCCTAGTAGAGGAAGACGCGGTGCTAGCGAATAAGCTTCCCCCCGCGCCCTTACCTCGGTTTAGCGAGGAGGGATAGACCGGCCTAGGGGCGCGCACGGCGAGAGTATTCTAAGATAAGGCCCTTTAACGATTATAGGATAGGATAGCGGCTCTAGACTATACCTATAAGGGCGTGCGCCGCGCCGTTAAGTCCGGCGCTCGACGCTTAGATCCGAAGCTAAAGCTAAAGGTATAGGTAGCCGACTACTATATCGACCTACGGGGGTATCTACGCTAGCGGGGGAGACTATAGGTACCGGGCGCACCGTATACTATAAAAGCTAAGGAGAAGGAGGGACCGCTAGAGCTAAATAAACGGAACGAGCTCTAAGGGAGGCTGGTCTAACTTATCTATAACTCTAGCGTCGTAGGTTACCTAGGCAGATAGGGTATAGTAGTAGGCCTTACGAGGGACTTTTACTAGCCCCTCTTATAGTACTACGTTCGTCGCTTCCTCTATAACTACGATATCTATAGCCGTACGAAGATTTAAAAGGCGTAGCTTAAGGGGCTACTTAAGTAGCTTTTAGTACCCGACCGGTTCTATATATATATATAGATAGACTTTATAATAGACCTCCTACTTATAAAGGGCGGCAACCGCTATATATAGGTAATTAAGGACTAACTTAGTAAGTCTATAGTATTAGAGCCGATGCCGTTTATAGATATAGAGTCCTATATAGAGCGCTTCCTATAGTGCTAGGCCCGCTCGTATAGCTAGCTAGCCTCTATTATAAGCGATAGGGGATCGAATTAAACTAGCCGCTTTTAGTAGCACCTATACTAGCTACTTTAGATTATATAGCTACTTAGCACGGCATATTACCTATAGACCGACGGAGGGCCTAAGAGGGTTAACTAGGAGGCGTAGGCTTACCTATAGGCTATCGTAGCCCGCAACTAAGTAGACTAAGACCGGTAGCTCCCCGCGGCCTAACTTACGTTAAATAGTAAACTATATACCTTTATTAAGATAGCCCCTTTCTTTATAACGTATAGCTTTAAACTACCCTTACTAGTTCCCTTTACTATAGACGTAGTAGCGGAGTAGTATAGTAATTCGTTACTAGAGGGCCGCGCCTCCGCGTTTATATAAAAGCTATAGAAGACTATAGATTATTACTAATCCGCGATAGCCGCCGCGGCGTAAGATTAAGAGCGGCACGCTAATAAGACTAGGGCCCTAGTAAATAGGTTCGCGGTAGGAGATAAGGTATAGCTAGACCTCCGTAACTATAGGTCGGTATAACTAAAGAAGAAGCTTAACTAGCTATACGTAAAGTTTATAGTACGGAGGGTTATTAGCCTATAGGTTATAGAGCTCGATAGTCTCTTAATAGGGGTCTATAATAAGATTAACGTAGACCTCCTTTATAGAGCCTCCTTTAACCCGCTGCCTAGATAAGAAGCAGCGGACGCTTAACCGCCCGTAATTAAGGTAGAGGGAGAGGACGAGTTTAAGGTCGAAGAGATATAAGCCGCGTGCTAGAAAAAGGTCGGTAAGGGGAAACGCTAGGAGGTCCTCGTTAAGTAGCGCGGGTATCTTAACCTTATATAGGAACCTATATATAAGTTTATAGGAACTATAGCCCTCGATAAGTTTAAAGCCTTATTCGGAATAGTAGATAAGAACGATAGACTAGCGGACTACCGATAGTAGCCTAGGCTAAGACTATAAAGTAGGTAAAGTAAAGTAGGCAGTTACGATAACGCGAGCGTAATTATATAAGCGGAGATAAAAATAGCGTTTATTTCGGGGCAGAGCCCCTAGACTACCTAGACCTACTCCTTATCCTTATCGTCGTCCTTATCCTTATCCTTATCGTCCTCCTCTACCTTATTAGCGGCGGCGGCGCTCTCTAGGGCGCTTAGGCGGCCCTCTAGGCCCGCGAGCTAGTCGGCGGCAGCGGCGGCTCCGGGGGCTCCGGGGGCGGCGGGGGCCCGGCTAGTAGCAGCGGCGGGGGCGGCGGCGGGCACGGCTAAGGGGACCGCTAATAGGGCGACGGAGGTAGTGTCCCTAGTACTAGGAGAGTTAGCAGCGGAAGTAGAAGAGCTAGATAAGAGGAACTTACTTAGGGACGAGGCCCTAGCGCTTAAGGGCGCGGAGATTATAGTAGGCGGCGGCGGCGGCGGTAAGGCGCTTCTTAGTAGCCCCCTATGCCTACCCGTGCGCGCCGGCCTTCTAAGCTAACGCCGCAACGAGTAGGACGGGAGGCGCCGCCTTATAGGCGCGGCCGGCACGCGCGCACTAGTAATAACTGCCGCTATAGCGGCGCCCGACTTAGTCGGCGTAGGGGAGCTCCTACGACGCGCACCGTATATAGGGGGCCGCGCGGGCGGCTCCGGCCTATACTTAGCGTTTATACTTTAAGAAGTTAGCGGAAAATGGCCACTACGCTCGCTAAGTAGCGGACTTATAGGGGTGGCAGTAGCGGAGGCGGGGGCAGAGGGGCCGGGCGTCACGGCCGGCGGCGGGGACGGCGTCGTTACCCGGAAGGGCGACGTAAGGGCGGCCAGCGCAGCAGAGGCAGAGGCGGCGGCGGTGGGCGCGGTCGCGGGGGCGCGGGCAGGAGCGGGGGCGCGGGTAGGAGCAGCGGCAGCGGCGGAGCCGTCGTCGGCCGTGCTTAGTATAGCGTCGACGAACGACTCCGTACGCTCCGAGAAGGAGGAAGCGGGGGAGGGGGAGGCAGATATATCTATCGCGGAAGTTAGTATTATAGATTACGGCCTCCCGCTCTATAGGGCAGAGAACTTACTAGTTAAAGTTATTATTATTAGGGCTATTATTGCTACTATAGCTATTACTACGAGCATACGTTAATAAAGCGGCCCGTATAGCTAGGAATAAACTAACGCCCTAGGTAGAGCGGAACTTACCTATTACTACTACTACTACGGTTAAAGAAGGAGGAGAAGGAAAGGAAGGAGGAAGGGGGGGATGCCGCCTTATATACCCCTAGGTAGAGGAGGCTGCCTAAGGCCGAGGGGACGGGCAACCTAAGGCTTACGTAGGTCCGGGCCGGCCGCCAGCTACCTAAGGGCGTATATAATAGGTTGCGCCCTTATTTAAACGGCTAGCCGGCCGATAAGTATAGAGCCCGGTTCCGGCTACCCGGGCTAATAGGCGTAGGGATAATAGGGCTAGTAGGGCTAGCACGATTAACGGAAAAGGGTAGGGTAGAGCTAGCGGCACGGGCCCTATAGTATAGAAGCCGTTAATAGGGCAACGCCGCGCCGCGCTTAAGGGAGGGCATTATATAAGAGTCTTTAACTATTATAGGTTATAGGCTTAGGCTACGGCCTAAGCCGTGTAGTTACGTGTAGAGGGCCGGATCCCGTACGTATATATACGGGCTAGCCGCGTATAGGAGAGCTCTATATAGCTTATTAATATTATCCTATAGACGGCACCTACGCGTACGCCTCTACCTACTCCGTAATAATAACTATAGTAAAAAGGAGTGCCTATATAGCCCTATATAAAAGGGAGCGGAGCCTTATATACTAAAGTACCGTCCCTTATATTATAGTACTAAGAGCTACTACTATACGCTAATATAAGGGGGGCGGGATACTATAAGCTTACTAAAGCTAGCTATACGCCGTTTTATATACCTTTACTCTTTAGCTAAAAGTACTAAAGCCCGACTCTTAGGGCGCGGCCCTTACTAGTAATATAGTCTATTTAAGAAGCTCGCTTAAGAGGGTATTATATATTATTTACTAACGTTTTTTCCGCGACTAAGCGTATATAGTCCGCGTAAGGGTTCCGTCCCCCTAGGCATAGTATTAGGTATTATTTAAAGGCGCGCTTCTTTAAAAGCTAGGTAAGGGTATAATATAAGGGCTTTTACCCTATATAAGCCTAGACTAGGGTCTAGGCTAAGTCTATATATAAGCGGCTTCTACGCTTATATAAGCTAGGCCTATACTTCTCTTTCTTTTCCCCTTTATAGATTATTAACCTTCTTTTAATAGACCGTACCTAAGCCTATACCTTTACTTACTCTATAATATAACGTTAGCTAATTTAAAAGATCTAAATCCCCCCTTCTTAATAGTCTTAAGAAGAGGTCCTAGATAAGGAAATAAAAAAAGAAACTAACGTTAAAGTAGTTAAGGATAACGCTAACTTTAAAGAAAAAAAGGAAGCTATTAGATTAAATAATCTAGATAAATAAGGACACTATAGGAAAGTAGTAGAGCTAGAAAACGCCTACCTTCCTACGCCTCCTTATATAAAACAAAAAGAAGATCTAAAAGTAGCTTTCTCTATTAATCTTCTTATCTCGACCCTTAAGGGGGTAGGAAAGGCACCTCTCTTAAAGAAGTACCTAGCTGCCTTTTTATCTTTACTTTAAGAAGTAAAGGAAGGTATAGGGCCCGATACGGTTCTTAAAGAAGACTAACCTCTCTCTTATTTTAATTGTTTTTCTAACTTCTATCTAATACCTATAAAAGACGGTTCCTATAAAGTATTTATAGTAAGCTAGCTCTTTAAGCTATAGCTATTAATAAGGAAGGTATATAAAAGAGACCTCTTAGACCTACTAGTAAACTAAAAGCAGCTAGAAAAACACCCCTCTAAAGACTAGTTTTTCTAGGCCTAGAAAGACTACCTAGCCTTATATAAAGAGATAGGGTCTTTTAAAGAGGTCCTTAAGGAAAAGGTAAGAGGAAAATAGGTCCTTAGCTATAAGTAGGTCTTTATCTATAAAACTAATAAATATAGCTTCCTTTAAAAGTATAAGGCCTAGCTAGTTATTTATAGAAACTAGTAGGAAAAAAGGGATTTACCTACTAAGGCAACTACCTTAGTAGGGATATCTTTTTAGACCCTTATAGCTATAGTAGTAGAATTCGACCTTAAACTTAATTAGATAGATATAGTTAACGCCTTTGTTAACTACTTACTTAGGGAAGAAGAAGTTATTTATATATACCTTTTACTAGGCTTTTAATAGCTAGGAAAGGTTCTATAGCTTAGGAAAGCTCTATATAGACTATAAAGGTTACCCTTTCTTTAGTAATAGTATTTAATAGGTTCCCTTAAAGCCCTAGGCTTTTAGAAAGTCCTTTAGGAACTATATATAATATAGAAGGGTAAAATTATAGTCTTCTTTTATATCGATAATATTATCTAAGCCTTCCTAAAAAAGGAAGAAGTATTAGCTAGGGATACTATATAAGGCTTATAATAAAGGTATAATATAACTAAGCTAAGGGAGCTAAAGTAGTTCCTAGGGATATAAATCCTTTAAAATAGGTCCTAATAAACTATCTAGCTTACCTAGGACGCCTATATTAATAAGGTCGCTTATAAATTCCTCCTTAATTCCCTCGATAAAAAGCTTCCCTTATATAAGGAACGGTGTTCTTTATATAAATAAAGTAGCTATAATATACTCTCCTAATTATATAAGCTAGTAAGTTATATATTAATTATAGATAAAATTCTATCTTATAGAGTAAGATTCGCTTATTATTTTATATATTATTATATATTAAACGGGTTGCTAGTTACTGTATAATCGAGAATCGAAGGAATAGAGCTAGCTTAGAATACTAGCTAAGACCTCTTAAGAATACTAGTACGACTAACCTCCTTTAAATATGAATATTAGTAGAACTAAGATACTTCTAGATATACTTAAGGTATTATAAAATTCCTTAGTTTTAGGGCTATATAGTAGCCTAAATCTAGTCCTAAAAGGTTCTTCCGTTTAGCTATAATTATTTATATAAGATAGTATATCCGCTAGTAGATAAAGATAGAATTATTAACTTTAATACCTCTTTTATATACTAATATACTACAATATAAATTCCGTTGAAAATCCTACCTTATACTCCCTCTTCCCCTCTATTATATATTCTTACGTAACTCCTTAATTTCCTAAAATTCCGCTTTTACTTATATACCTTAAGACCTCTATACCTATATTAGATAAAGAGCTTTTGCTTAATCCGTCCTTTTAAGCTAGGGAGTAAGAAAAACACCGATATTAATGAAAGGTAGGCTCCTTACTTTTTTTTAGCTATTTCTACTTAACCGGATATCTCTTTTACGGTCTCCTAGCTAGCTAAGTATAACTAGAATCCTAGCCCTAGGTACTAAGAAGTAGTAGACTAAGCTATCCTTTATCTCTATTTAATAAGATTATATAGTCTACGCCTAGGATAGTAGGGAAGGAAGAAATTAGCTATTAAAATCTTTTTTTATTTAAGCGATTTATTATTTACGGATAATTCCTTAGATAGAAAGAGCTTATAAAAGTATATTATATCCCTTTTTAAAGGAACTATTACTTAGATAGCTTTAAAGCAAGCTATTATTATAGCTTTTAGTACGGAGGTAGAGCTACTAGCTCTTTTAAAAGCGTTAAAAGAAGTAATTTTCCTTAGCCGGCTATTAATATCTCTATTACTATAAATTCCGACCTTATTAGCTATAGAATATAATAATATATAGACTATATAAATTCTTATAGAAAATAGTAAGCTATTAACCTAGCTATAGTATATCGATATTTACTAGTATTAGTAACGCTAAGAGGTTTAAAGGGGACTTATTTCCGTCTATTAAGTTCTAACGGTATCGATAAAAGTAAACGGTCTTATAAAGCCCCTACTAAAGTAGAAGCTAGCTATCTTTTTATAGTAAATTAGGCTAGAAAACGTCTATAAGAAGCTATCCTTAAAGGCCCGCTTTAAGAGTCTATAAGAGAAGCTAATAGCTTATATAAGAAGGTAACGTCTATAGCTAAAGAAAAGAAAGAGGTCTTCCCTTTATAGGGCCCCCTATTTAATTAGGTTTCTCCTTTCTAAGAAGGCCCCCTTTCTTATAGGACTTTCCCCTCTTTAGGCCCTTATTCCTTAAGTAGGTCTAAAAGAGCCTAGGGACCTAAAAGGGCCCTTGCTTTCCTTAAGTAAAGGGATAAGTATAAAGCTAAGAACCTCCTCTATACGCTTACTAGCCCGAAGCCGTATTAGCTATGCCCTTACTATAAGGGCAGGCTATAGCTAAGGGGGTATATCGCGAAGCGTAGCTTAATTTCGTAGTTCTCTAAGATATCCTTTAGTAAGAGGGACTAAGGAAGCTAAAAATACCTAGTATAGAAGAAGGAAGAAGGAGCTAAAAAGAGGTATAGAAAGGAGGGTAGGGGTATAAGGGGAAGTAAAAGTAGCGATAGCTTCTTATAGAGGTAGCGAGAGATAAGACGGATATACTAGTAACGGCTAGAAAGGAGGGGGAAAATTAGTAAAAGGCTTAGTAGTTAAAAGGATATTAGTAGCTTCTTTAAGTAGGATCTTCTTTATTAATTAAGATACTAGATAGGTATAAAGAGGGGCGTTAGATAAAAGAAAGAAGGATAATTAAGGCAATATAATAATAATCCCTTACCGTAATTACCGCCCCTATAAGAATTAAAAATCTCTACTCTACCTATCTAACCCCTTACTTTTAATTTTACCTTTATATATTTTATATATACTTCTTATATCTCTCTTTACGAGAACTATAATAACGTCCTCTATAAAAGCTAAGTTATTAGTACTCTTATAAATAGCTAAGGAATAAGTAGTATTTAGCTAGCTAATTAAGGAACTTAGTATTAGTATTAAAAGGACGATAAAGCTCTAGTATAATAATCTTTAAACTATTAAGCTTTTAATTAAGCTAAGAGTAAAACTTAAGATAAACCTTAAGTATATTAACGTTTATAAATACTAGCTTTATTAAGAGGTATAGTAAGATCGGATATAAGTTAGCTAAATTATATTAATAGATAACCTAGCTAATAGTATAATAAATACGCTTATATATAAAAGTATTAAAGCTTTATTAAGTAATTAAAACTAGTAATATAGCTAAAAGATATATTAAGAGATAATATACCTAACTACTATATTAAGGCGTAAAATCCCCTTACTATAATAAACTTAATAATTACTAAATCCTAATAATAAGAGTACTACTATATATATTAAGCTTAAGGGATTCTAGTAATATAGTTAGATCTTTATTTAGTTATAAAACTATAAAGATCTAAGGGGTAGAAGTTAGCCTTATTTACTACTAAGAAGTAAAGCTCTTACTAGACTACCCCTTAATTAGTATAATACTATAGCGCTTAAACTTATAATAATCGCGATAGCTTTACTAAATTAAGATTAATTAATATAAGGAATATATTATTAGAAAGCTTACTTTTAAGATTACTTTTATCTTAAAGGATAACGTCGCTAGTAAAAGTACTATAGTACTTAAGCTACTTAAAGGGATACCTTACTATACCTCTCTTTATAAGGAAGGTTATAAATATAACTTATAACTATTAGTTAAATAATAAGAGTAGGTTATATAACCCTATTAATTATAAGTTCGACTCCTCTTAGGGCGGAGAGTAGGTTATATAACTACGCCCTAGAAGGGGCCCGGTTAATAAACTTAGGGGCCTAAGGAGATAGGATATAAGGAGGGGGGTTCTCTATATATCTTATCCTCTTAGGTCCTAGCTTTTATCTTTTATATACTATTCCTTTTTACTTAGCCCTATAGTAGCTATATTCCTTATAAGAGGGGTAATAGTAATAGCTTTTAACTCTCGCGAAGAGAGATATAAGAAGTATATAAAAATGCACGAAGGTAAAATTAAAAGTAAGGGGTCGGATAGGTAGGGCAGAGAGATTTAATTCTTACGGGAGTAGCAATTACGGTAGGGGAGTAATTATTATATTGCCTTAATTCTCCTTCTTTTCTCTATCTAACGCCCCTCTTTAT